AGTCTAAAAACAGAATGGAAGATTACAAGAATCAAGCCAAAGATATGAAACACAAAAGAGCCAGGGGACACTCCTCCACAGAAGCAAGAAGATAAGAGAATCCAGAAAGTTGAAGATAGTGTAAGAAACCTCTGGGACAACTTCAAAAGAACCAACATCAGAATTATGGGGGTCACAGAAGATGAGAGAGAGCAAGATATTGAAAACATACTGAAAGAAATAGTGACAGAAAACTTCCCCCACCTGGTGAAAGAATTAGACTTACAAGTCCAGGAAGCACACAGAACTCCAAACAAAAGGAACCCAAAGAGGACCAAACCAAGACACATCATAAAATAAATTCCAAGCCGAAACCGGTTTGGCTCAGTGGTAGAGCGTTGGTCTGCGGACTAAAAGGTCCCAGGTTCAATTCCCGTCAGGGGCATGTACGTTAGTTGCGGGCACATCCCCGGAGGCGGCTGGTCGATGTTTCTCTCTCATCAACATTTCTAGCTCTCTAGCTCTCTCCCTTCCTCTCTGTAAAAAATCGATAAAATATATTTAAAAAAAAAAAAAAAAAGCCTGCTCAGATTGACCAGAGTCAGAGAGGCGGTCTATTAAAAAAAGAATTGGTGTTGCCTCGGAAGTGGGGGGTAGTCTTATACAGCGAATATAGGCCTAAACCTATGTTTTCACTGTAAAATTAGTGGGTCGTCTTATACGCTGGAAAATACGGTATATAGAAAAAATAGTATATATGCATGTAGCTCAGTCTTATCCACAGTTTCACATATCCACTGAAGATCTTCCAATGTATCACCCACACAGATAAAGTGCGACTATTATATAGTTAATTTTTCAAGAATTCTGAAAGCAAAAAAAAAAGAAGTTAATAGTTTGTAGGAAGTTAAAAGGCAGATGTTTTGTTTGTGTTATAGAGTGGATATTTGGATGAGCAAGACTTGATGAAAGCAGTCACCACATAGCAAAGGAAGTGAGAGCAGATGAGGTAGGATGCATAAGCTTAAGAATGAAATTGTTTGTGAAGCAATAACGAGCACTCATTAAAGACAAAACAATCCAACTAATGAAGGTATCATCAGAGATTAAGAATACCAATTCTCCCCAGATCTCCCCAACCTCCTCGCTGTAATTTGACAGTCTGCTTGTTGCTTTACTGTCTCTATATCTATCTTTTGGTTCTTCAGTTTATAATGTTCTTGATCATCCATAAATAAGTGAGGTCATGTGGTGTCTCTCTTTCATTGACTGGCTTGTTTCATTCAGCAACCGAAGGACTTGTATACATGCATATAAGTACAACCAATGGACACAAAACTCTGGAGAGGGAGGGTATATACGGGAGGGGGGGGGGCATTGGTATATGTACAAACATAATAATTTAATTAAAAAAAAAAAAGAATACCAATTTTGCCGAAACCGGTTTGGCTCAGTGGCAGAGCGTCAGTCTGCAGACTGAAAGGTCCCAGGATCGATTCCGGTCAAGGGCATGTACATTGGTTGCGGGCACATCCCCGGTAGGGGGTGTGCAGGAGGCAGCTGGTCGATGTTTCTCTCTCATCAACGTTTCTAGCTCTCTATCCCTCTCTCCTCCTCTCTGTAAAAAATCAATAAAAAATATATTAAAAAAAAAAAAAAAGAATACCAATTCTACATTTGAGACCATTAGTCTTAACTTCAACATTGGCTTCTAGAGTTTACTTTTAAAGCCCACAAAAATGAACTTCAATATTGTCATAGCAATTTCACTTAATGAGTCAAAGATTTAGGGACAGTAAAATGGTGCTGTTTATAGAAACAATATTTAGAAACAATATCCAAAATGAGACATCATAGAATGAAGACTTTGAAGTCATTAAAAAATTGGAAAATATATGAAATAACAAGTTCATAGAACTATTAAATGAAGAAAGCAGAATCCAAATCAGCACAGCATTGTGATCCAATTATCTATATATGTAAACAGGAAATATGCTAATTAGCCTATTCAGGAAGAGGCTGCATCAGGACCCATTCAGGAGGAGCTTTGCAGGCAGATAGGCGGGAGGGGACTGCACACTGCCTCCAGCAGCAGCATCAGTGGGGAGGCTGGGGCCGTGAGCCGGCCAGAGTGTAGACACAGCACACAGAAAAGCTGGGGCTCGGTGAAGGCCAGAGTGGAGACAACACACAGGAGTACCTGCTCCCACCCCAGCAGACACAATGCGGCAGCCAGGGGCTTGTTCTGAGCAGCCACCACGTGGCTCGGAGCACACCCCCACCCCAGTGGACACAATGCAGCAGCTGGCGCTACACGAATCAGGCATGGTCCCCGGTGGGAGGCAGGGCACCCCTCCTCTTGAGATTTCATTCGCATGCTGGGGCACTCTACTCTCTATATATAAAAAGCTAAGCAACTGGCCAACTTGGCCAGTAAATATGAAGCACACTGACCACCAGGGGGCAGGCGCTCAACAGAGGAGAATCCGATAGCAACTCTCACACTCTGGGACCCCTTGGGATATGTTGGAGAGTCAGTTTCAGCCCAATCCCCACAGGCCAGGCCAAAGGACTCCACCTGCCAGAGGGACCTGGCTCACTCCCCAGAAGCACTTACAGCCTCGGCACTGACCCAGTGTTGCCAGCCAGGGAGGGACCACAGGAAGTTGGCTCCAGGGCATGTCCAGCCCTTACTAGTCCCACCCACCAAACACCTTCTAATTAATTTCTTTACAATGTGCACAAATCTGTGCACTGCGCCACTAGTAAAATATAAAAGTACTAGAGGCCCAGTGCACAGATTCATGCAACAGTGGGGTCCCTCGGCCTGGCCTGCACCCTCTCTCAATCTGGGACCCCTTGGAGGATGTAGAATAGCCAGTTGATCCAGACAAGAGGGAACCCGATCCTGTGCATTGAGCAGGATCATAGCGGCCAGCTGACCGGTCGTTCTGTAGTTTTTATATGTAGACTAGAGGTCTGGTGCACTCAGTCCAGTCGGGACATCCCTCTCACAGTCCGGGACTGCTGACTCCTAACTGCTTGCCTGCCTGATTGCTCCTAACTGCCACCCCCACCAGCCTGATCACCTCTAACCAACTCTGTCTGTCGGCCTGGTCACCTTCAACTACCCTCCCCCCCATCAACCTGGTCACCCCAACAGCCCCCCTCTTCCAGCCTCGTGGCCCCTAATTACCCCCCTTGCTGGCTTGGTCACCCCAAGCAGACTATTGTTCAGTCATTTGGTTTTCCGTCACTAAACCCCCTGCCAACCTGGTAGCCCCCAACTGCCCCTCCTAACCTGGTCACCCCTTATTGCCTCTCCTGCGAACTTGGTCGCCCTAACTACCCCTCTGCCAGCCTGGTCACCCCTAACTGCCCCCCCTGCTGGCTTGGTCGTCCCCCACCACTGCCCTCCTGCCTGCCTGGTTGCCCCCCACTCCGCTGGCCTGGTCATCACATGTAGCCTGCTGTTCGGTCATCTGTCCAGTTGTTTCAATCATGATGGCTCCTAGCTTTTTATATATTAGGACTAGAGGCCCAGCGCATAAAATTTGTGCACAGGGTAGGGGAGTGTTCCTCAGCCCAGCCTGCACCCTCTCCAATCTGGGACACCTCGAGGGATGTTCAACTGGAAATTGGACATCCCTCTCACAATCCAGGACTGCTGGCTCCCAACTGCTCTCCTGCCTGTCCCTAAACGCTTCTGCCTGCCAGCCTGATCACCCCCTAACTACTGCCATGCCAACCTGATTGACATCTAACTGCTCCCCTGCCAGCCCATTTGCCCCCAACTGCCCTCTTTTGCAGACCTGGTCCCGCTCAACTGCCCTCCCTTGCAGGCCTGGTGCCTCCCAATTGCCCTCCCCTACTGGCCATCTTGTTGTGGCCATCTTGTGTCCACATGGGGGCAGGATCTTTGACCACATGGGGGCAGCCAGCTTGTGTGTTGGAGTGATGGTCAATCCGCATATTACTCTTTTATTAGATAGGGTAATAGGTAACAGGAAAAAAAAGAGGCATGAAATATAAACACAAATGTTGGCATTATATCTGAGGAATAATAGGTTCACAAGTGAATTTCATTTCTCCCATGTACATATTTTCCAAAATTTCTAAAATGAATATAGTTTTACTGTGAAGCATATTTAAAACACATAGCATTTTCCTTAGGAAAACTCTCTTTGCCTATAATTTGGGAGATGGGTGTCAGATATAGAAAAACAATGGAATGCCTACAGAAAGAGGCAATTGGAGTTGAGCAAATGGTATAAAAGGAAAGCATAAAGATGACACAAAGTTTCAACTAATTAAAATTTTATCTTAAGTCAGACCTAACAACTGCACCTCCAAAAGTGAACTTTCTTCAACTCTTCGACTATCCTTTGCCATAGTCTCTGATATCAGAACTAAATACATAAGCTATTTATTGGTTAAAAAGGCTTTTAAAATTTTTCTTAAAGATTATAATGTTTTCTATTTAAAAAATGTATTCAGAACTATAATAATTACCTCTCTTATTAATGAGCTTTTAGAAGAGTTTCCAGGGTAGGAATTCCCTATATCCTAGTCAACACTAATTTTATAATTCTCTAAAATACTTAAAGTACAGTATCATAGCTTATACATTTCACTTGCAAGTACCTACATTTTAGTTGTTCAGTTACACTATTCTATCCTCGGGGAGACTTGGCAGACAAATATGGTCAGTTAATTATGGGTTCACTGCTACTACTGGAGCAACATAAAAGAAAATCTGCATAGTATCACACAAGTAGTAACCTAGAAGTGAATACCAAGTTTACTTCCATATAAAATTTTTATAAAGAATGAAATAAATTAACTTTTCTAACTGTACAATAAAGTCAAGATTAGACATCTTTAATCACAAAGGAGATTAAAGATTAAGCTGATGACAGAAATCACATTACAAATGTCTAAACATAGAAAAATGCTTCAAACATGTTTACCATGTACTAAATCAAAATGCTTTCTCACACAATCAGGATAAAAACCATTACCTCATTGCTGGGAGCCTCATGTTCAGGACTCACATCTCGATGCTGATTTTGAGAAACTGATACACTGACAGATGATGTGCTTTTTGGAGAATGGAAGGCATTGATGAGATGACTCAAAGGAACTGTAACCTAAAAAATGATGTAAATTGATATTTAGTGTGAACCACCACAAAATGAAATATTTCAAAACATATATCCAAAATTTGATACTTCTCAACTTCTCCCTACACCATCCTGTTCTAAGTCACCATCACCTATATATAGATTTTTATAATAACCTCCTAACTGTTCTCCCTGTGTATGCTCTAGTAAAACTAAAGTCAGATCCATCACCCTGCTCAAAACCCTCCAATGGCTTCTCTTCTCATACTCTGATACACAAAGCCCTCCTTGGGTCTTTATTACCTCTCTGAATTTATTCACTCCCTTCATTCTCTCTGCTCCATCCCCAATGGGCGCCTTGCTGTTCCTGAAACACACCTGGCAGGTTCTCACTTCAAGGTCTGCACATTATTTTTTCCCTCTTGTGCAGTTAGTAGCATAGCTTGCCCTTATACACTCTTGAGTTCCTAACTCAAAAGATCTATGGATTTTGAATATACCACCCTCTCTGCATTGAATTTCACTGTTCAAGTTTTCAGAGCTCAAACTCCAGGCCAGACCAGAGGCTAGGAGGTTATGGTTTAGAGTTCCCACTTTCAAATCACTAGGTCTTACTGATGACCAGTACAGCCCTTATGCTATCTTGTATATAAGCTATTTATTGGTTAAAGAGGCTTCAGAAAATCTGGTCACTTTATCAACAGACATCACCTTATTTACTTTATTAGGATATATCACTTTATTAGCATAAATCCAGGAGTGATCCAAAAGGACTTCTTATAATTACACTCCTATGGCTCACAAAATTCCAAAGGTTTTTTTTGCCCTAGCCAGATGGTTAACCATCATCCAGATACTCTAAGATTGCAAATTCAACCCCAGGTTATACAGGGCTCATATAAGAATTTACCAGTGAATGCATAAATAAGTGGTATAACAAAATCGATGTTTCTTTCCCTAAAATCAATAAACAAAGATTCAAGAAAAAAAGGAAAGAAACTCCAAGGGATTTAGAAATTCTGTGATAAAAATTGGGAACACAAAAAAAATCTTTATTTCGTATTATACCACACTCTAAGTATAAATATAAATTCAATATAGCAAGGAATTTTTTTCTTTATTTTACCTTATTTTTCTCCATTTTATTTATATAATTATTTAATATAAAATGTTTCATAAATTACATATTTTATTTTTCTTTATTTTATTCACAACTTATATGTTTTATTTTTAAGTTATTCAATACCATAGCTCAGTGCAGCAACAATGCACAAAGTAGATGGTAAATATTTGTTGAGTAAATGAATTAAATAGGCTCTTCTTATCCAGGTTTTATACTATATGCTTTACTTATATTATAATTTAATCTTCATTCAACAGCCATAAACTTGCTACTATTACACTTCCTATTTAATTAAAACAGCAATAATTTAGATAGGTTCAGTGGCATATTCAAAGTAACACAGCTAGTAAGTACAGGAGCAAGAATTCTAACACAGATAATCTGAATCCAGATTCCAAGTAAAGACTTTTCATTTCAGTTATTAATATAAAAATAAATTTACTACATGTTAATTGAAACAGGCCGTAAAATTATCTGTAATATCTGTTCTTAACTATGCCAACACATATTTGTGCAGAGATAAAAAAATATATATAAAAGAATTTATTTTAAAAAATTGTTCTCTTTGAATAGATTACAGGTCATCTTGATTTCTTTATATTTTTCTTTTCAGCATTTTTGGCAATGAGCTGAATTATTTTTAGAGCCAGAGTGAACAATAAGTTCTTTTAAAACTAGGGGAATAGCCCTGGCTGATGTGACTCCCATGATCAGAGTGCCAGCCCAAACAACAAAGGTTTGCGGTTCAATTCCTGGTCAGGGCATATACCTGGATTACAGGTTTGATTCCAGGTCCTGGTTAGGGCATGTGTAAGAGGCAACCAATCCATTTGTCCCTCTCACATCAATGTCTGTCTGTCTGTCTGTGTGTCTGTCTGTCTTCCCCCTCCTCCTTTCTCCTCCCACCCTCCCTCCCACTCTAAAAAAAATCAATGAATCAAAATGAAGAGAACCCACTGTATGGGAGAACATACTTGCCAATGATAAATCTGATAAAGTGTTAATATCCAAAATATATAAAGTACTCATACAACTCAACAAAAGGAATATAAACAATCCAATTTTAAAATGGACAAACTCATGAACGGAGTGAATCCAGAGACATGAAAGCATGAAAAAGAGTGCAGAATCTCAAAGGGAAGGTGGGGAGGGTGGTTGGGTGAGAGTAATCAACCAAAACCCTTGCAAAAGCCATGGACAGACAATAAAGGGGGCAAGGGGGGGGGGCAGAAGTAGACAGGAGGGAGTCAATAGGGGGAAAAGAGGGACATATGTAATACTTTCAACAATAAATAATTATATTTTTAAATGGGCAGAAAACATGAGTAGACATTTCTCCAAAGAGGACATATAAGAGACATGAAAAAATGCTCAAAGTCACTAATTATCAGAGAAATTCAAATTAAAAACACAATGAGGTATTACCTGTCAGAATGGCTATCACCAAAAAGTCAACAAACAAAAAGTGCTAGTGAAAATGTGGAACTAGTGTTCTCTGCTGGTGGGAACGCAGATTCCTGCAGCCACTATGGAAAGCAGTATGGAGTTCCCTCAAAAAATTAAAAATGGAACTTTCATTTGACACAGTAATCCCACTTCTGGGAATATATCATAAAAACAGCAATCACAAAGAATATATGTATCCCTTTGTTCATAGCTAAGACTTGGAAACAGCGTAAGTGCCAATCAGTAGATAAATGGATAAAAAAAACTGTGAGACATTTACACTGTGGAATATTATGCAGCTATAAAAAAGAAGGATCTCAGACCATAATTGGTTTTGTTCAGAGGACAGAGCGTCAGCCTGCAGACTGAAGGGTCCCAGGTTCGATTCCAGTGAAGGGCATATACCTTGGTTGGGGGCACATCCCCGGTAGGGGGTATGCAGGAGGCAGCTGAATGATGATTCTCTCTCATCAATGTTTCTAACTCTCTATCCCTCTCCCTTCTCCTTTGTAAAAAAATCCAATAAAAAATAATTTTAAAAAAGAAGGATCTCTTAATCTTTGAGACAGCAGGATGGACCTGGAAAATATTATGGTAAGTGAAATAAACCAAACTGAGAAAAGACAAATATTACATGATCTCACTTATTTGTGGAATCTAGTGAACAAAATTAATTGACCAAAAAAATAAGGCCCAAAGGTCTGGTTGTGGTGACTCAGTGGATTGAGCATCATCCCATGGACCAAAAGGTCCCAGGTTCGATTTCTAGTCAGGGAACTTACCCAGGTTGTGGACTCGATCCCCAGTAGGGGGCATGCAGGAGGCAGCTAATCAATGAGTCTCTCACCATTGATATTTCTACTTCTCTCTCCCTCTTTCTTCCTCTCTGGAATCAATAAAAATATTTAAAAACAGCCAAAGCATGGATGCATAGAACATTCTGACATACCTTGAAGTGGGGATGGGGGGACAAGAGATGAACCAAAGAACTTATATACTTACTAGAGGTCCAGTGCACAACATCCGTGCACTCCGGGAGCAGGCCTAAGCCGGCAGTCAGACATTCCCCAAGCAGGCGTAAGCCAGCACTTGAACATCCTGAGGGGTCCTGAGTACTGCTCAGCTGTGACCCCGGCTTTTGGCTGAGTGGCATTCCCCATGTGGGAACACACTGACCATCAGGGGGCAGCTCCTGCATTGAGCATTTGCCCCCTTGGGGGTCAGCGTGTGTCTTAGCGACTAGTCGTTCCCCCGATCGATTTTACATATTAAGGTCTTATTATATAGGAGGATATGCATAGCTCATGGATGTGGACAATAGGGCAGTAAAGACCCATGGGGGTGGGTGGGAGCTGGGAGGACGGAAGAAGGGAGGGATGAGAGATATTTGTAATACTATCAACAATAAAAAAATATATTAAAAGTTAATGGGAAAAATATCCTCAGGTAGGAGTAACAACAAAAAACAACTTAGGAAATAAAATTATGTTCATATTTTCTACCCATTTCTTTGAAATTTTTTATTTTATTTAGTTATATCTATTCTCATTCAAAAAGTTAAATTGCTCTGGGGAGGGAGGGGATATGTGGGAGGGAAGGAGGGAGAGCAAAAAAAAATCAATAAAATATGTAAAAAAAAAAAAAGAATCTTGAAAACAGCTTGTGACATGACATATAGTTTCCAAAAACATGTTGTAATTGAATATCTTAAGAATCATAAAAATGAATTGAACATTGACTACTATAGAATTCAGAAAATATAAAATAAAAATCACCTATAAGCTCAAAAAAAAAAAAAAAGTTAAATTGAAGTAAGCGTGACTCAGCTGGCTCCTTGATTTCACACTTCTAGCCTCTGACTGTGAGTAATAAATTTTGGTTGTTTTAAAAAAAAAAAAAAGGTTAAATTGCTAAAGGGTAGTTTGATCTCTTCTCTCATTGTTAACAGTGATTAGACATTTACATAACTTAAGAAGTGATCACCCCAATAAATCTAGTACCCATCTGACACCATACATAATTACAATATTATTGACGATATTCCCTATGCTATACTTTACAACCCCATGACTATTTTGTAACTACCAACTTATACTTCTTAATTCCTTCACCTTTTCCCCCATTCCTTGAATGCTCTCCCATCTGGCTATTATCATATGTTCTTTGTATTTCTGAGTCTGTTTGTTTGATTTATTCATTTATTTTGTTATTTAAATTCCACATATAAGTAAAATCATATGACCTCTATCTTTCTCTTGTCTGACCTGTTTTATTCAGAACAATACCCTCTAGGTCAATCCATGTTGTTGCAGATGACAGGATTTCATTTTTTTTTTATTAAATTATTATCTGTGTACATATTTTAACATTGCCCCTCCCTCCCATACATACCCTCCCTCCCCAGAGTTTTGTGTCCATTGGTTGTACTTATATGCATGTATACAAGTCCTTCGGTTGATCTCTTATCTCCCCAGATCTCCCTACTCTCCCCGCTGTAACTTACAGTCTGTTTGTTGCTTTACTGTCTTTATATCTGACTTTTGGTTTGTCAGTTTATAATGTTCTTTAATAGCCATAAATGAGTGAGGTCATGTGGTGTTTCTCTTTCATTGACTGGCTTATTTCACTCAGCATGGTGTTCTCCAATTCCATCCAGGTTGCTGCAAATGATGAGAATTCCTTTTTTATGGCAGCATAGTATCAGGATTTCATTTTTGTGTATGGGGGGGGGGGGGCTGAGTTATACTGCATTATACACATGTACCACATCTTCTTTATCCATTCATTTACTGATGAACAACACTTCAGTGGTTTCCATATCTTGGCTATTATAAATAATCCTGCAATGAACATAAAGATGCACTTGTCCTTTCGAATTAGTGTTCTCAATTTCTTTGGATAAATACCCAGAAGTGGAATTGCTAGATTCTTTTTTTGTCACTTGTTAAAGCTTTTGTTTTAAAGTTTATTTTGTCTAGTTTAAGTCTACATTGCCCTTTTTTGTGTTTTTCCAATTGTCATGAAATATCTTTTTTTAGACCTTTACTTTCAGTCTGTGTATTTTGTTCTGAATTCTCTTATAGACAGCATATGTAATGTGTTCTTATCCATTTAGCCACCCTATGTCTTTTGATTGGAATACTTAATCTTTCAAATTTTTAGTGATTGTTGGTAGAGCCCTGGCCAGGTAGCTCAGTTGGCTGGAGCACTGTCCTGATAGGCCAAAGTTGAGGGTTAGATCTGTCCAGGCACATACAAGAGGCAGCCAACAGATGCATAAATAAGTATAGCAACAAATCAAAATCTCTCTCTTTCTCTCTCCCCATCTTCCTGTCTCTCAAAAAATCAATAAATTAAAAATATTAAAGTAATTGTCAGTAGATATATAGTTACTGCCACTTTACAGTTCATATTTTCTCTTTATTTTTTTCTTCAAAAAATCCCTTTACAAAACAATATGATTCTGGTATTAAAACAAGTCTAGTGACCAGTGGAACAGAATAAAGAGCCCAGATATAAACCTGCACATTTATGGTAAAGTGTGTCGGGGGAGGGTAGTGGGGGGGAAGATGTTCCATTTAACATTTCTTATAATGCTGGTTTATAGCTTTGCTGTGCAGAGTAATCTTGATTATGGATCCTTGCTTTTCATCACTTTGAATATTTCATGCCAATCTCTTCTGGCCTACAAAGTTTCTGTTCAGAAATCAGCTAACAATCTTACAGGAGCGCCCCTGTAGGTAACTAGCTACTCTTCCTACAACTTTTAATATCTTTGTCTTTAACATTTTACATTTTAATTATGATGTGTCTTGGTGTGGGCCTCTATGGGTTCATCTTGTTTTGGACTCTCTAAGCTTCTTGGACTTGCATGCTTATTTCCTTTGCCAGGTTAGGGACTGTTCAGATATCCTTTCTTCAAATAGGTTTTCAATTCCTCACTTCTCTCTTTTCTTCTACCCCTTTGATGTCATTGTTGGTATGCTTGATGTTGTTTGAGAGGCTCCTTAAACTATCCTTCCTCCTCCTCCTTCTCTCTTTTTTTTTTTTTGCTGTTCTTATTGGTGTTTCCTGCTTTCTTATCTTCCAAATTGCTGATTTAATCTTCTTCATCTAATCTTCTATTTGTATGAAAAAGCCACTGGAAATGGCTTAGGTGGGCCTGAAAGTTGGGTGGGGCTGGGTGAATAGTGTTATCCAGTCTGATGGAGACTCAAATATGGCACCCACCTGCCAACTGGGGTGAGTGTGTGGAGGGGCGGGGGCAGGTGAGGGCTCAGCAAAAGAACAATATGCCAGAGTGATCTATAAAAAAATGTAAATCTGATGTTACTCCCTGCTTAAAAGCATTCAATGGTTTTCAACACAAATGAAATCCAAAGTCCCTAATTATAACTCCCTATATGATCTGCTTCAAGGCTTCTCCCCAACCTCAATTCTGTCATTGTGCCTCTTAATCACCACACTCTAGCCACACTGGTCTTATTTTGTTTTTCAGTCTGCTAAGCTCTTTCCCATATCAGGACCTCTAGATGTCCTTCCATCCTTCACTTCTATTCTTTAAAAAAAAAAAAAAAAAAAAAAAAATTATATATATACACACACACACACACATATGTTTTTGTTGATTTTTGGAGAGGAAGGGAGAAGGCTAGAGAGAGTGAAATACCCATGAAACACCTATGGGCTGCCTCCTGTACCCCCCTACTGGAGATCAAAACCCAGGCATGTGTCCTCACCAGGAATCCAACCTGAGATCACCTCTGGGTGCACGCTCAACCAACCGAACACTACCAGCCAGGTCTCCATTCATTCTTCACTTGACTGACTTCCACTCATCTTTTACTTTTCATATCAGCAATCGAGATTCCACATTTGCTCTCTTGACCTGGCACATTACTGATACCCAATAAATAATCACTTCTATTTCTATTATCCAGCAAAACAACAAAATACCCAAATAGACAGCAAAACAACAATACACAAAGGAGCATAATTACATGTTTTCCTGTCTTTTTTAATATTTTTAAATGATTTTTAAGGGAGGAGAGAGAGACACACATCACGTATGAGAGAAACATTATTGTAGTGGCACACACTCCAAGCAGGATCAACCAAAGCTCGGGTATGTGCCCTGACCAGGAACCAAGCCATAGCCTTTCATGACACAACATAGGGCATGATTATGTTTAAACAAAGAAACTAAAGAGCATTCAAAAAATATTTTTAAATCTTAATGTTTTCAAAACCATTTGCAAAACTTTTAAGAACTCTCAAAAAAAGAAGAAAAAAAAAAGAAAAAAGCTTTCAATATGAAACAGAGAAAATACCATGAGAAAAACATGTGAAGACACATGACAAACAACAAGCCAAGGAGAAATGTTACCATCAAAAGGAACTTTTAAATGAACGGAGAACAAGCTTTGTTACAAGTGTTCATTCTTAAGAGAAGATGATTGAAAACTCTTGGAATCATTTTTCTCTGCCCCATCGTTTGCTTTAAGAAAAGATGGGGAGGAAGCTGAATCAAAACTTTAACTACAGGCAGTCAATAACTTGAAAACATCTGTCATTTCTGGTCGCCCCCTCCCCCCCTCAAAAAAAAAAAAAGCTTTCGTGGCAGATTATCCAAATTATTACAACACGTTTCAGTCCAATTCCATTTAAAGGGAAAGAAAAAATAGGGGATCGGAGGCAGAAAAATGTAAAGCAACTATTTGCTTGCTCCCTTCACATCGATGGCAAGGTCTCCCCCACCCAATCCCTACCCCCGAATGCCCGGCACTAAACAATGCCCGACAGATTCTCCGGCAGAAATTCCACGCAGTCAACTCGACCAGCCGTGATCCCCATCACGTGTATGGCATGCCCCCGCTTCACCGTCCGCCTTTTCCTCTCGGCGATACCCGATTCCTTCCTGCCCCCAGAACTCCAGTTGGCCCAATCGCTTCCCTGCCACGACCCCTTCGGAGAAACTGCTTCCAACAAAGCAAATGGTAAACAGACGCGGGAGGAGGAGGGCTGGGGGATGGGCCGGACGCCGGGACTCACCTGGGGCTGCACGGTGCTCGAAAGGGAAAACATCTCCTTCGGGCCCTCAGCGACCTCACCCGCCCGCTGAAGCTGCCCGTCGTCCACGCCAGGCAGGGAGGCGCTGAGCCCCTTTACTCCCTCCCCTTACCCGCACTCTTCCTACGAACGGAAAATGGCTTCCCCTCCCTTAGCTGCGGCACCGATCACCTGCCCCGGAAAGCAAAGCTCTAACGCAACAGTACTTCCGGGGCAGGGAGCACCGCCCCCGCCAGGCCGGTGACCGCCCTCGGCCTTCCTCTGACGTTTCTGCTGGTGCTGCTGGCGCTGCTGGCCCCTGGAAGTAGTTGATGTTCGCGTTGAATAGTACATTTACTAACCCCGTCAGGTCTTTTGTTACGAGTTTTTTATGTTTTCACAATAGGTAGAAAATTCTCTTGATCTTAATCGGTTTCAACCAGGCAAATTACATCCTGCTAAAATGTCTGGATTACACCACCCGATTCCTGCTTTTCCACTTTCTCTACATCTACCATTTCACTAGCCACCATTTTCCAGAACAAACCCCACCGGTTTACATTTCAGGGGGGAAGGAGGGGGAACTGGGGTAGGCCGCGAAGGAGTTTTTAAAAATGCAGGAAGTCGCGATTCCAACAGCCTCAGTAGAAGGTCGAGAGTTAACTCTTCAAACCCCGCGACTCGGCTTCAGGTACCCGGTGTCCCTTTTCTTGTTTGCAGCACCGCCTACCCACCCCCTCTCGTTACAAATACGGTGGGCGTGGTCACCGCCCTGGAGGAGTGCGTGGTTGGTTGGAGAAATTCCCAGCGTCCCCGCCCTCACTCCCATTGGCTCCTTCGGCGTCTGCAAAGGTGAAATGACCGAAACGGGGCAGCGCGGGGCGGGACGAGGCGAGCGCGGCGGCGTGATGACGTCACTGCCGCGGGCGGCGTGGGCGGGGCCTTACTTTGAACCCAGTTGGCGGGAGCGGAGCCTGGGACCGGGGCTCTGGCGGCGGCGGCGGCGGGCTTCGGTCCGGGCTGGCCTGCAATGGAGTCCACCGCGGGAAGCGAGGAGAGTGGAAGAGGCGCAGCGACCGGGAAATGCGTGAATAGGATCTCGGTGCCAAGACCTCCCTCCATTGAAGACTTCACCATAGTGAAGCCCATTAGCCGCGGCGCCTTTGGGAAGGTGTATCTAGCACAGAAAGGCGGCAAGTTGTATGCAGTCAAGGTAAGCCCTTATTTCTGCCCCTGAATGTGGCAGCCCCCGCTGGACCAGCTAGAGTGGGTGGCCCGGTTGGCTGACGCCCGCACTGACCGCTGCGAGCTGACTTCCCACCGGGGTGACATCAGCCCTGGGCAAGTTGGCTGTGTCAGCTCTGCCCCACCCTTCTCTTCACACTGCGATTGCTCAGGAGACTCCAGAACTTCTCTGAATCCTTTATACTGATTTGGCCTTTACAAGGATTAAGTTTGAAACTTTAAATTTGAAAGTTATTTTCCAAATTATGTTTTAATTCCATCCGTTTTATATAGATTAATGTCTGACCTACTATAGAGCGAGAAGATCTCATTAAACAACCTCATTTTTTTTTTACCATTAAACCTTCCATTATAAGTCTAACCTGTATCTTTATTTAAAGATAAACTGAAATATGTCCTAAGACAGCCTTTTATCCTTGCAGCAGTATATAGCTCTCCAAAAGCATTCAAGAGCTTTCAATGTGTTTAAAGTTGTTCCAGCCATTCTTGGTTATCCAATCTCATAGTTTCAGATTACTCACATTTCAGCAGTTAGTGTACATGATAAAGGTAAGGAGAGAGCTGTCTGACTAGCAGGAGAAAGTTTCAACTTTCTCTTGGATATTGCTATATAAATGTCTAGCAGGCATCTCCATGTTGTACTTGCCTAACTTTGACTACTCCTCTCCACTAACTGCCTAAACTCTGAACCTCATGTACCTCTCCATTTAATACCACCACCACTATCCCTGTCATAACCTTGTGTCATTTAACTTTCCTCTGTTTCAACTGTGTATCCTATCTTGTCAATTTGGTCTAACATTCTTATTACCCCTTCCATTCCCAAGTCAGCCCTTCGTTTTGTAGTCTTCCTTTAATTCATTCTCTTTCTTTATTCCTTCCTTCTTAAAGTAGAATCTGGTTTTTTAGTAAATTAAAGATTGGGTAGCCAAAACCGGTTTGGCTCAATGGATAGAGCGTCGGCCTGCAGATTCAAGGGTCCCAGGCTCGATTCCGGTCAAAACCTTGGTTTCCGGCATCTCTCTGTAGTGTGCAGGAGTTGGCAGCTGATCAGTGTTTCTCTTTCATCAATGTTTCTAGCTCTCTATCCTTCTTCCTTCCTCTCTGTAAAAAAAAAAAAAAAAAAAATCAATAAAATATATTAAAAAAAAGATTGGGTAACCATCACCACAACCCAATTTTAGAATATTTCTATCACCCAAAAAGATATCTCCTGCCCATCTGGAGTGCCACCCCTTTTACCCTCTCCCAGGTAACCAACAATCTACTTTCTATCTCATAGGTTTGTCTTTTCTAGACATTGCATATAATTAGAATCATACAATATACAGTCTTTGGTTTCTGTTCACTTAACATATTTTTGAGTTTCAACAGGCCTCCATTTCCATACCTTATCTACTAGGATAGCCCACTAACTGGAATAACTATTTTTTTTTTTCATGCATTCCTCAGGCCAGTGCATACAACCTAAAGTTCACACTCCTTAGAAAAGCATTCATTTTTAAAAAGAAAGAAAATAAAAAATAAAAAAACATTTCTGCTTCATTCTTGCTCTAAACTTCCACTTGTATCTTCCACATATCCTGTGTTCCAGTCACTCCAGACAATAGGCTAGTCCCTGAATTTTGCGTTTTGTCTTCCTTCTGAGCTTATCTTTATTCTGGTCCCTCCTTCAGTGCTTTTCTTCTACCCTTCTCTGCTCTTCTCCACCGATGTTATTTATGTATTAAGATTTATCTTACCTTCCCCTTCAAACCTTCCCTGACCTTTCAGACCCATCCCATTAAAATGAACTCTTCCTTGCTTTCTATATTCCCAAGATGCTTTGCTTTTACTTCTACTGTACTTTCTAAACAATCATTATCCATTGTTGAAATGAAAACCAAAGAAACCAATTCATTTTTAGTATTTATTGAGCATCCCTTCATTTGTAAGATCTGGGCTACAATGGTGATCAAAACAAACCTGCCTTCATGGAATTACCAATCTTTTTTTATTTATTTTTAATATATTTTATTGATTTTTTTTACAGAGTGGAAGGGAGAGGGATAGAGAGCTAGAAATGTCGATGAGAGAGAAACATCGACCAGCTGCCTCTTGCACAATCCCCACCGGGAATGTGCCCGCAACCAAGGTACATGCCCTTGACCGGAATCGAACCCGGGACCTTTCAGTCCGCAGACCGACGCTCTACCACTGGGCCAAACTGGTTTCAGCGGAATTACCAATCTAATGGAATGATAGATTACAAACTGGCTGTGTCAGTATCCCATAGTTTTCTTATGGTTAGGATCTACGGTTAGAATTGACAATGTATTCATTATTTTATTAAATACCTTATCTTCTTTTCCTTGAGATAGTCCTGAAACTTGATCTCAATGTTACTGACTGTTTAGTTAGGGCTCTTCCTTTAATGTAGATTATAGTTTTGTCTTTCTACTAGTTTCTTTGAAACTTGAAAAAATTATCGTGTTTTGTTTTGTAGTGATTGGTTGTTGTTGTTTTTTTTGTTTTGTTTTTTTTGTAAGGCAGCATCTGAGACTAAGTTTCAGTAATTCTAATCATTACTAAGATTTTATTTTCTATGCAAACTTCCTACATTCTTTCTCTTTCTGGTTCTATTTCCATCCATCAAAGAATCAGAAAGTAAAAAATATATACTGGTGTCATAAAAAAATATATACACACACTTTTGAATAATTATAAAGGCAGTGTTTATTAAGATATATTTAATTTTCAAAATTGAGCTCTTAGTTGTTAAAGTGTATATACATTTTTGGGGGGACACCCTATAATTAGTTACTATTTCTCTGTGCCTAGGTTCCTGGTTATCTGGGAGCTATAGCAACATTACTACCTTTTGATTTTGTTATAAGAAGAGCAGACCTCCTATCTTGAGCTAGTGCAGAGACCCTGTCGGAGCCCAGCGCAGCTGGTCAGGGTAATTACTTCTTCGCTGACATGCTGGGCATGTTGCTCTTCCTGCTTGTCGTTCTCTATCACATGGCCATCAACAAGAAGCAGGAATGAAAGTGGTGCCTTCTCTGCCCCAGAGTTCCAGGGCATAGTCTGAGGCAAGATGGAGGGTGTGAGGGGCTTTCACACTTCACTTCATCCCTTCTACCCATCACAGCATAGAAAGCAACTACAACTGGATTTTTCTAAACAACTTTTATTTCCTCAAAATCTTCCTTAGCCCTATGGAACAAGAAGCTGCCACTGAGTAGAGGCTGCTTTCTTTTCTGCTCTCTCCCCCCAGTATAAAAATATAGATTGTTGTTGTTGTTGTTGTTGTTGTTATTAAAATTTTTAAAAATGAGCGGAATATGCCCTCACCAGTGTGACTTCATGGTTAGAGCATCAGCCACACACCAAAGGGTTTCTGGTTCAATTCCTGGTCAAGGGCACATACCTAGGTCATAGGTTCTGTCCCTGGTCTAGTTGGGCACATGCAATGCAGGAGGCAGCCAATGGATGTAAGACATTTGATGTTTCTCTCTCTCCTTCTCTCCCTCCCTTCTACTGTCTCTAAAAATTTAAGGGGAAAAATATCCTCCAGTTAGGATTAAAAGAAAAAAGAAGAGCTGAACAGAAAGTTTTTCCCTCCTAATATACAGGACAGTCAAAGATCAATTGTTTACTCTTTTTCCTTAAAAGGGATTGTGAAACTTTTGACACTTGATATCAAGATAAGCAATTCTCTGTTGAGAAAGTTCTGCTTTTGGGTTTTTTTGGGTTTTTTTTTTTTTTCCCAAATTAGCTATTTTTCTGGCAGTTTCTTTGGACTTTGG